CCTTCAAGAGAGACTTGRTTAAAGAGAAGATGTATATTCCATTGCAAATTGAAAATGTGCTTCATGAGCCATATCCTTAGACCTTTATTTTTGAGAGGTCCTAATATAGAAGCAGTCTTGTTCAAAGGCCAGGGCAGACATGACATGACTCTGGCTGAATTGTGTGGCCGGTGCTCACAACCACCTCACGTGGCTCTGCAGCATGTCTTTTATCAGAGAGGTGGGCTGAAATACCCCCATCCATGTCCTGATGAATCTTCTCATGCTCAAGGATGATGTCTAGTCATTTCCAGTGCAGCCTCAAGATTTATTCTGTTGTATGCTGAGATTAGCCCTTGGATTTTTCATCCTTTGCTTGGAGGCTTGCAGAAAATAGTGTATGCTTGTGTGTGTGGTTYTATTTTTTTTTAAAAAAGGCAAAGATCTGGCTCTTGGTTCTCTATTGGGTGTCAAGCCAACAGGGAAAAGATGACAAAAACTTGTCCTATATACTTAAAACACCAGGTTGTTTAGCTTTGTGCAAGCCATATATTTAATAAAAGAAGGCAGGAAACTGAATTTTGATATCAAATTTCTCATTGGTGAGAAATGTCTTTATATATCAAGACTTCTTTTTTTATTGCAAAAGCAAACTTAAATGCAGTTTTATCTTTGGATGTTCTGCAGAGCTTTTTCTCCACTTTTTCTTTTGAARCAGCATTTATTTTATTTTGGTTTATAATGAAATAGGATGTTATTTTAAAATACAAAAGCAATGAAACGTTTTTTCATCTTGGCGAGCCTTTAAAGMGATATCTGCTATTTGTGCCAATTTGCCTGAAAACAACCAAAGCACAAAAACAACCAATCAAACAAAGAAAACCCAGAAAGAAGCAAAAACCCAAACCTGAAACAGCTAATGATGCTAAAAAGAAAGTTCAAATATTAAGGGGAATATCTTCCAATAGGTGTAAGAGGAATTTTGCTCACACGATCTGTCTCATTAAGATTGTTGAAGTGGAACTTCTCTTAAAAGGAGGGTTATTCAAGTGTATAATTGTTTRCAGGGGCAAACTCTTAGTCTATAGCATAGTGTCTTTTGTTAATGTACTGTAAAAATGCCTAATGATATAAACATACAATAATTTTGTAATTAGGATTACATCAGGCATAATATTTTTTCATTAGAAAGGACATTGACTGGTTAGAATAATGATTTCAAAGTGTGTGTTCCTGTGTTCTCTCAAGCTAGCTAATGGATGTCTGCAAGCCTCACACACAAAGGGAATCAAATCCTCAGCCCTGTACACTATTTAGGAAACTGTGACATCAATTTGTCACAGTAATTAACATTTAAAAGCATTTCACCTCTGATTGATCAGTCTGTTACTCATTTAAATCAAAACCACTGATCAGCAGACAGATTAGCAGATGATTCAATTCACCTTAAATGTTTAAGCATCTGATAAAAATTGGCAGTGAATCACACTAGTAAATGAATATGAGCAATTTATAGCTGTGAACTTTATTAATTATACAAGGGGGGAAAAAACCCTTACCTGTTCATAAGCCATCAACAAAGAGGARGAACAGTGACATATCTTTAAAAAATAAGGTATGTGATGTGTATATTCTGTATGTATCTCCTATATGGATTAACATTATTGAGACTATGTCCCTCTGTCCTTCTTACTGTTGACTTGGCCTAAGAGCTGCCTGCTCTCCAGCTCAAACCTCCTCAGAAGCATCACCAAAATAGAAGGGATTGAAGGTAGGAGGAGGAGGTTGGTGGGAGAGGGCAGCTGTTTGGGGAGATTGTGTGGAGCTTGCTGCCCTGTTGAGCTGAAGTTAAGCCAAGGAAGAGAAACCTCGGGGTGGAGACAGTGTCTGCTCTTCTATATTCAGCTGGAGCTGCCCCAAACACAAGGATCCCATCCTTGGCCTGTAAGTTTGAAAGCTCCTGTTAAGAGAGTTAACTGTAAAGCTCCCAATGAAATAATTATAGCAGCATTATAATTCTATATGGGATTATTATTTTCTCTAAAATATGTTGAAACAAGTATATTTAGAGGTAGTTTTCAACAGAAGTGTTTTCACGTAGGACCATAGTGTTGCGGAAGTGTCACTGAAGGGTAGAATAAAGAATTGAGAAGCTGAGCAGGACATTAGCAAGGCAGCAAAGAATGGGTAGTGGAAGATCCTCCATTTCRGTTGTTAGTTCTAAATATGAAATTATGATTTTTGTAACTGTCAAACTATTTAGCAGTCTTATCACTACTGCTTAATTGGTTCCAGGATTTTATGAATATAACTGAGGTCAAGTCAAAACCACCTGTGTATTTGTGATGAAATCCCAGTTGGAAAACTAGCTTWCCCAACTTAGAAAATTAATATTTTTTTTCCACAGAACAGCACAATGGTATATAACAGCAGGTGCCTGCCTCACGGTCAGTTTTATTTCAGTAGTTGGTGTTACCCTTCACATTTCTTTACCTCGGATAAAGCAGCTCTATAAAAGTGACAAGAGGAAGAGTATCTATCCGTGGTAGAACCAGTACTTTAGACTTGGAAGTAGAAACTTTTGTGAGAAGGTTCTATTAGGAGCAGGAACAAGGTGCTGACCTGACTGTAGCAATATGTCCCTTCATTCCCTTCCAACTGCAAGACTGCAGCGTTGCGTACAAAGACCTACTGCTGTGCAAAGAATGCACAAAGCCCCAGCTTGGTTTGTACTCTGGGAAAAAGTAATAGTTCTTGCTTCAGTTAATTTAAAAAATGYGTACTAGCAGCATAATATTAATTGCAAAAACGGTATGCCTGTATGTTAATATGTTCCACTGTGTCAGGGCCAGCTGACCTTGAGGAGCTGCTATAAAGTTGTAACTGCTTGCTAATGCAAGTAAAGATAAATGTCTCGTGAGCAATGCCCATGAGGTCTTATTTTCCATCGCAGTCCAGTAAGAAGATGGTTACATTAACCCAAGAGTGTCTGAGGTCAGTGTACAGTTCATCCATCTGTCCAGGCACATGCGTTGTACATAAAAATCTATGGTTGTAAAAGGTTTGACTTGTGTTTTTCTGTCATCTATTTTCCTTTGTAAATTTGAGGACAGGCCTAGATTATCTAGGGAACAAAATAATTATATGTGGCTTTAGCATGCTGAAAGTCTTRTATTTTGTTACCTGTTTTATGAGCTGTAAGGTGAGCCAGGAGGATACAAAACATGAATCCATTTGAGAAATCAACAACTTTATCAATACTTACAGTTATTGTCTCCAGACTGAAATACCTCCTGTCCATGGATTGTACTGAAAAAAAAAGAGGTATTTAAACTGGAGAGGCACCTTTGTGGTTGCATTCTCTTTTAAGATTTTTTGTTGTGCTGGTTTGCTTTTGTAATTAGGTGGGAGGCAAAGTAATTTTATCACTGATCTTCTGCTAGGAGAATTATCTAGCAATTGTATATACTGCAGAGAGGGCCCCATTCCCACAGTGGCACCTGCCTTACTGAGTAAAGAAGGGCCGTAAGGGAGGGTTTCCAAGGCATTTTGTGACATCTGTTTGCTCCAGGTTTCCCTCTGCCACTCTGTGTTCCTGAAATCCCGGTTGCTGTTTGACCTGACCAGTCAACTTGTCAATGGCATCGTGGCTTCACAGGGAAACTGCAACACTGAACATATCTTCATGGCCAAACTCGCAAGAAAAGTCTCACTATGGCACTTTCTATCTTTTTCTTTCCAAGTCATTTTGAAGCTCTTGTTTTATTAGACCTTTTGACCCTTCAAAGTGCTTATGGGTTTACATAGTAGCAAAGGCAAATTTATTTCAGCTGAAAAATTAGTAACATCCTTCTTAAATGTCAGTTTAATTGGGAGATATGTAACCCMCAGCTGGACCTAACCTTGCTTTTCATTAGAGTGTCTAAATACACTCACTGGAGTGTGCTTTGACCAAGAGTTATATTTCATATTTAGTTACTTTTATGTTTGGAACAACAAGTGAATGTTAAAGGATTTTGGGGGGATGTTATAAGGAATGTTGGCTGAAAACTTACTGTTTTCAATGTCCTTAAATTATTAACAAAATTGCATGTTTTATCTCTGTGCCTGGCAATGTCATCTCCAGCAGCGAGGTCAAAGGCTTGGCCTACTTGGCTGAGACAAGGCCCCAGCACTCACGGGCACTCAATCAAGAAATGCCACATAATTCTTACCARTAAGTGTAAGTTTTAGTAGAACTCCCTCTCAAAACTTATTTACAGAACAGAGAGAAAGCATGACTTGAAGCAGGTATGTAATTTTAAGAGAACAGTTACCTATKTAGATAGCAAGCAGAAGCGACTGTTCTGAATATATAATTATGAATTAGTGGCTCAGCTTGATGCAGATATGCAGGAATGGTTATGAGTGAACAAATAGCTTCCAAATTGAAAGGAACTAAAGAGCTGCTGACTGCAGCCTCACTTGTCATTTTTCCCCTTCCCATCATCTTTCTGAGCAACTTACTTTGCAATAACTTCAAGCAAGATGTGTCTCTCTGTGTGTTTGAACACTGCCTCACCTATCTGGGCCTTGGTAGGGAGCCTTATGAGCTGCCATAGTAAAAAATAATAATTGGATTCTGTTTGTTTCCATTCTGACTGCTTAAAAATGAATAATAATGAAGATTCATCTTCCCTGATAGATGCTGGGTTTGTTTTCCTGAAAGGTGCAGAGTTTGCTTTTGTTCTGCTGGCAGAGCTCAGAACACTTTGAATGGGCTGGTGTTAGTGTGGGCTTAAAATAACTGTCATCTTTGCCTCATGCTGCTGTTCTTGCTCATTTTTTTTCCCTGGTGTTAGGCAGTGGTGGCTCAGCCATCCATTTCTTTCCTCACATTGTGGCTGAAGTCTTAACAATATGTTTCTCTTGACATCAGTTGTTTATGGAGGGGAAAAAGAAGAAAAATAAGAGTTCTCCATTAGCTATTAAGTCTTGGAAGAGCATTGCCTTAACACCTTTCCAAATGTCTGTGCCCTCAGGAGCTCAATCCAGTCCCTGTTCCTAACTGTGCTTTTCGTGCTGACCTCTCAGGAAATGGACCCTGAGTACCTGGGCCCAGCGAATTCAGCACCACCAGGGAGACTGTGTCAGGGTAAGCACTGTGTGTGCGATGCTGTGAGGGGACCACAGCCTGTCTGCTCCCTCTCTTTGCCAGATACCATGGTCTGGTATTTAGAAAAAGCAGCTCCGCATGTAATTCCATGCAGTAACTTCTGAAATTCCCAAAATCAGGTAGGCAGTGGTAGAATTCTTTACTTGTAAGGACGCTAAAACAGACTCTGGTGATTTTTTTTTTCTTTTTTTTTTCCCTCTCTCTTGGTCAGGTTAAACTCCATTTACCAATGTGTACATTCCTGCTGTGACTCTCTGCGCTCATATTCTTGTTCATGACTTTGGCAGTAAGAATAAAAATCGACTGCCAGAGTTGGTGGATTTTTATGCACTCATGATACTGAGTCAGGGAGGATGATCTGGAAAACCTACTGAAATAACCTCGCATGTGCTTGCTTCCCAGATGTTCAGAAGGCCCCATACAAGAACTACTCAAGCTTCTCTGTCCTGAACTGAAGCATCTTTAGGAGATGTGAGACTGTGAAATTGTGGATGACCAGAACTGCACAATGGTCTCTCAAGAATGCCTGAAGCTCAAGTACAGAACTGCAGAAATACTGGCTAGCCTATTTCTTAAACCTCTCTCTYTTCCCAGAGGAGTGGAAGGTGACTTTATAGAAAGACCATAGAAAGGTCTATAAAAATTTGTGAGGCATGGCTTTATAACGAGGAGAACAAAAATAAAAATAACTCATAGGTCCAGAACCAGTAATGGGAAGTAATTTTTTTCTTATGAAATGTGTAATTAAATGGTTGAACTTTCTATCACAAGGTGCTCTGAAGGTCAAAAATATATTTAAGATATGTGTATAAATTAATGAGGAATAAGTCCATTACTGGTCACTTAAAATTATGAGAATTATGTGCATTTCTAATTCAGAAGATCTTTTCACTAACTTCTGGCAGATGGTGTGAGGAGATGCTCGCTTTATCCATGCTCTGTTGCCTATATTCTTAAGCAGCTTCTCTGCTATGTCTCGAAGCATGAGCCCAGGCTGTGTGTGCCTTTGTTGTCAGTTTTTTTAAGAATTATGCCAGTTTTTAGTCCAACATGGATTGGTACAGCCTGCCATTAAAGTCTTAACTTGCACCAACCTTCATCTGGCAAGCCATTACATTTAAAACCGAAGATGAGGTGTCTTAGGGTGATTCTTCTTAGGGAACGTGGGACCATGCAGTGTTGTGCGTTGCACTATTCCAGGCAAAAGTGATTTAGTGCTCTTCGAGCAGCGTCTGGAAGTGTTTGTCTGCAATGTGAGTTGCTGCTATAGCCATCCTTGCACTCCCCTATTCCACCTACCTCCCATTGCAGTCTCTGATCATTCTGATCTTAAATGTCTTTTACCAGCCCTGATCCCACCAGTGCACTTGTGGGAAAGTGCAAAGTGTTTGGTGTGTTTGATATTAAACTGTGCTTTATTTTATGCTTTGCAATGGCTAAAAATAATAAGGCATTTTTAAAGCAAGTTTTATCTTGTGTTTTAATCTTTATAATTGATTCATACCCAAGAAAGGATCATAAACGCATATATTCTTCTCTAGACAAGTAAAAAGGCAAGGCACACAGGGCAATGTGGGCATGAAAATTATAACATTTGAATAGAAGTCTGTTACTGGCAGGTTAACTATGGCACTTAAAGTATTTCTAGCTCTTCTGGAATGTGTCAGCTCAACCTGGTGGGCATGGCACCAAAAAGCCAATAACAAGGGAAGAAGGGAGGGCATCTGCAACATGCGTGAACTGTTTTTCAAAGGAAAACTTGGACTTCCTAGGAACTAATGGGAATCCCTGCAGTTATCTGCTATATTGTGGGAATTGGAGACATCCCTAAGGGAGTGTGGGCTGTGGGATAACGTGTTCTGAAAGGCAGCTGGTGTTTACTGTTTGTTACAGAGGTGTTGAAGGAACATTTAGAGGGAAGTAGCAATGGCAAAAKTCAATGAAAACAGAGGTACTTATTTTGAGAGATTGAGAATTATGGACATGAAGTGAAGCTTTTATTGGCGGGCAGCTCTGCTAAGGGGTTTTGCAGAATGAGACACTTTGATTCTTACTGCCACGTATCATCTTCAGGGACTTTAGTGCTCTCCTTGTGCAGGATAAAAAGTCCTAGGGAAATATATCAGCAGTGTTTGGCAAATTGTTTCTCAGTGATTATTATGCAGTGATATTTTTTGAGAGAGGAAATCTTAATTAAACTTCATGTGTATTCACCTTCATAGTCCATCCCTGACTTAATGCATTAATTGCTTAGAGTTTGGATTTGCCTCTTAATGCAGTAACTGCAATTCAAAAATGTCTTTTGAAATTCGGCACATTGTGTGTATGCTGCCTCAGACTCTAGAATAAAGAAATAAAATTACCTCCATTTTAATTTCAGCAGCTAATATATGCTTTCAATCCATCTTCATCCCAATATTTAAAGCATTTTGTTTTTAATAAACTTGCAGGTGAAGGAGAAATCATTTTCTTCCTGCGATTAATAGGAAAATGGGTTTCTGTGCTTCTTAATGTATAGCGTATATACAAATAAAAATGAATTGTCAACTTGGAAACAGCTTTATTGATGCTTTAAAATGGAGTGAGAATGGCAAAGTTCCTTAAATTGAACATGGAGAAGCAGTGATGCGCTATTAGTTTTAATAAGTCATTTCTTTGTCAGTGACCTCATAATTACTGTAAATTGTATATGTAACAATGATCCCTGAGTGTTACTCATTAAAGCAGTTAATCAATGATGTGATAAGCTAAAAGCCTAAGGTGATAAGGAAGGTGGTTAATTTTGGTAGTGAGTGATTTCCCAAGAAGTGCAGCATCATAATTTACATGCTCTGCAGCAGCTAGAATAGCAATGGTTTTGCAAGTGCTGTCTGCATCCAGTGACTTTCACTCATGGAAGAGTACAGATATGGACAGTAAAATGGCCCTTTCAAAATGGTATTTTGGATTATTTTGGGGAAAAAAAATGTTTTAGGTATTGAGGGTTTTGTAATAAAGCAACCATGATGAAAAGTGCAGTGAAATGATAATCTTATAACACCCCACTGGATTCAACAGGTGGTCAGAGACACTTAATGTCTGTCCAATGGGTAGTTAAATTTCTTGACATAGTTAAATTGTCAGCTGGGTAAGGCTTGAATATGCACAGATGTAAACTCAAGAAAAGGGATTTGATTTATTCAAGGGCATCTGTCTACTTTCAAATCTTTGCCCCTGGACTTGCAGTAGTTATTTAGGATGCATGTGCCCCAGATAGGACTATCTCCTGTATTTCTGAACCACTTCAGATTGTGAATTAAGTCCCATGTGCAGTATTCTTTCCTCATTATTTTTTGTTGTTCATACTCTGTGACTGTAGTAAAACACAATTACTGTTACTGACTGGCAGGACTCTGTTAACCYGGTCTCTCCAGTACTCAAATAATCAGGAAAAGGGGTTCAGTCTGGTTCACTGTTGTGCTGAGCCACGGCTCTTGCTGTCTGTGCCAAATGATTGCAAATGTAGCGTAAGGGGATTAGGTGGCTAGAGCCTTTTGAAGTAACCATGTAAATATTTGGATAAATCTTGAGGGAATCAAGATATATACTACAATAGCAAGCAGAGGATGTGAAAGAACAGGTCTGGGGTGTCAACATCTGTAGCCCAAGTTCTGTGGCTRGGCAACCACTTTCTGCCTGCTCCTACAGTACAGACCTCTCAGGCTTTGCTCTAYCAGAAACGAGATGCCCTAGAAGAAAAGGGCCCCAAAGATTGCACAGCTAACCAGCCTAACTTGTCAGCAGAGAAAAGTAAGTTTTGGAGTGTCTTAGCTCTTCCCTCAGTCCCTGCTTTAGGGTTCTGGGTTAGATGTGCCAAGAGGCAGTCCTGGCTTGGGAGCAGGCTCTGCTCTGGAYTTATGCCTGGGAATAGATGATTATCCTAGGCTTATGGTGACCCAGAGCAGCAATTACTCCCTCTTAGGGAGGAAATTAGACCCTGGACACAGGAAAGAACCCAAGTGATGCACCTCTACTGTAATTACAGTCAGGGACGGTTTGCTCTCATCCCTCTGTCCTCTTCAAGACCCCTTGGTCACTGCTATCCGAGATGGTATAGAAAGAATCAGAAGATTAAAGAAGATTAATGCCTATCAGCTCTTCTATAGATGCTTCCTTAAAGACATCTCTTAGTTCCTAGCCCTGTCTAGGCTTTTTAATTTAGCAGTCTAACTGGACGTAATTAAATTTAGTTTCACATATAGAGGTCCCTAGCTCCTGTCTGAACTTTGTCTAAAGATTTATCGTCATAATAAGATTATACTAATAATTGCATTCGATTTGCTTTAGCTCAAAATGTTTTTACTAATCAGAACACTGTTTGCCAACTTGGTAAATTACCTTCTACTTGTATTAAATGGAAAAATTATGTAAACTGAAAGCAGAGTGTAATAACTGTAAAGAACAATCATTTCAATGGCTTGCACAGAGATGGCCAATTATTTAATAACCTCTTCTTATGGAGAAGGACTGTTCAGCTAGGGATCTGACTTAAACTGCCTAAACTGCTTCAGATCTAAACTGCCTGAATTCTTAGTCTTCTTTAAGTTAAACATAGGAAATGAATGAATTAAGATCAATCAAGGATAATGTGTAAAAGTATTGTGTACAACAATACTTTAAAACAGAAACCATTGAGACTTGATGCTTAATTAGACCTTAGACATCRATTCATAACTTGTTTAATAGAGGAGACAGGTAAAAGCTGGCATTTAAAATATTTTTTTTCCTGAAGAAAAATAGCCTTTTCATCAGCATGTAGAGGTTGTCAGAATTTTGATTGCAAAGGGATTGTGTGTTTGCTTGATGAAAACGCCAAAGTCTCTCTCGCTCTACAGAACAAGATGGATCAAGAATAATATTTTCAAATGTGCCCAAGTGACTGAAAGAACTGAACTGAGTTTCTGATGCTAATATAGGTATTTTAGATGTTTCCAGAGACRGTGGCTGCGAGGGTGCCTAAGTAATTTTTCTTCTCAAACATTTGCAGGCTTATTTTTATACTAAAAATGTCAGGAAAAATTTCTTTTCAGATCAGGTATTTAACTTCATCTTAYATTCATTGCATGTCACAACTTAAATTTTTAAATAATAAGCATTAAGATAAATGGATTTCACTTTTTCTGTAGTTGAATTGAAATGCTAATTTAGGCCAAGGATGTGATGTACCTGACAAGGCCAGATACATGAGTAAGCTGCCAATATCCTACATAGTATCTGTTCCGCCTGATCCCTGGGTGATCAGATGCTGTGTTCTCCCTTGGCCAGGAGCTTGTCCAGACTGACTTCTAGTCCCTCTGGGGATGTGGTTGCATCCTCCCTATCTGAGTATGACTTTCAGCAAGGGTTTACAGTGATGAAAAAGTTCAATTAAACTTCATGTGCTTGTTTCAAAAGTTCCCGAAGATAACCTTGTATCAGAAATTCTCCAGGCAGTCACGCTTTATATAA